TTATTAAACACTACCGGGACGAAGTCGCGGGTAAAAGCTAGTTTTAAATAGGGGAAGGGGGGGGCAAAGTGGGCCCCTGGGGGCAAAGTGGGCCCCTGAAATTCAGATGGCTTAAAAAATTGAGGGGCAAAGTGGGCCCCCTAAAATTTTTGATAAATAAGAGGGGAAAATAACTCATATCAACAAATTAGAAGTAAGAAATGAAAAAAAAATATATAAGCAAAAAATGGATACAAAGGTAATAGCAAAATTTTTATGGGCGGGGGCCCACTTGCCCCATATTCTGAATTTTTTTTATTTTGATAGACACGGCTTATTAATATTGAATACTGAACAAGGATGTAAAAAATAGGGTAACGAGTGAAACAAGGTAAACAAATCCCCTTTTTTCGCTTATGGGGCCCACTTTGCCCCCCTCTCCCCTACTTGCCGAATTAAAATTTAACCAAAAATGAAATCCGATCAAAAATCGAAACATTTGAATACAGCAGCCAAGTAGAATATAAAGATAAAGAGTTTGAGCGTGCGCGCGCGCGCAACACACCACATCAAGACGTCCAACTGGTCGTTAATGATGACTAAGCAATCGTAACAATATCAACGTGTGAGTTAAAGTGACTCGACGCTTATCGCGACTTCTTCTCGTATTAAAAAAAACGCGCTCCTTTATTGTTATTGTTGCGCGCTGCGCGTTTCTTTTCTGTGCGCCTTCGCAGCGGCCAGTGTTCTCCTCGGCCCAATATGCGCGTAGCAAACGCATCATAAAAGAATTCTTTTTTCACGTTGTAGATTATTTTCCATTCTTAATTATACGCCTGCCACGCCGGCGAGTCGTTCGCTTTTCCATTAAAGGGCATTGCCTGCTATAATTACGCCGTGCCTGCAGCGCGCACAATGCCAACTCGAGAGCGTCCGACTAAACAATCTTATCTCGATTCGCCATTGTTGCCCCCCGCGCCTGCCCTTCCAACACCATAATGGTATCGCTTATGTAATCTGCAATCAGGTAGCATGTTGATTATTGTATTCGCATATGTTTTTATAATTGAGGTTAAGTTACGAAGACATTACCTAACTTATTTTAGTGTCCGGTTGGCATCTATAGATGGCGCGGGTGAGTAAAAATGCACTTGCAGCGATATAAATCTTGTCGGTCGTCGAATCCAGCAAACAATCGCGTTTCCGGCGTGGCGTTCGGCTATTTTTCCGAGCCCCCCTTTTGCCAAGAGGACAACGGACAAGTTCCTTGTGCACACGCGAATTGCACGCGTTCAATTATTCATTCGGCGATTGATAAAACGACTCACTGGCTGACTGGCTGGCGGCTGGCGGCCCGCCCGGAAAAATAACGGAGGTCGTTAGCATACTAAGCTTACCAACCCTACATCAAACGAACAACGTACACACTCTCTATATGTGTGTGTGCGTTTTTCGCTTCGTCTTGTTCTCCTTTCCTTTCCTTTTCCGATTCCCAGCCGATAATATATATATATATATATATTGTAGGAGAGTATTATATGTAGAAAAGAGTGCTTTCCAACTAACATAATCCATTGTTGTCATCTTATATTTTATCGACAGCCGACAATGGCGCGCGCGCGCGCCGTACATTTCCATTCGAATGGCCCTTTTCTAGCATGTAAATTCCATGTCGACGGCGCACAGTCGAAACACACCCGCCAAACGCACGCTGGAAAAACACATTGTAAATATTTCGCGCAACAAAGTGAAAAATGCCACGCGGAGGAAATGGCGAAAAAGCGCGACAACAAAACACCGTTTTCCATTCGACAGTCAACACACATTCAAAGAGTATTCAACATTATAAATCTTTTCGCTTTCCCATTTCCATTTCGGTTGTAGGTACTATGTATTCTCCACAAACCTAATAAGAGTAAACTGTGTGTTAAATTAAGAAATGGCCCGCTACCACCCATGGTCACCTGGAGGACTACTCCAACGGCTACAATTACGACAGACAATACATGCCTCAGTATGGGGGCTGGCGAGCGGCGGCGATTTCGGAATTCAATTGATCGTTGGGGATTGGCCACAGCGAGGGGCCCACATTGTGTGTCTGCACTGCTACCGGCAGACTTTTACATTTTGCCTGCTGTTGTTAAACGAGATATTTAACTGCATACACCAATATCAAAACATAACCTTAAAAGAAAACTATGTAATTGTGTGTATTTGGTTGCATAAAGTAGAACTAAAACTTAAACTATGTTTTTATTTATATTTAGAGACGTCCCTGAATATCATAACACAGAAAAAAATTGTGAACATTGTTGATTATAATAAGCAACGAGTTAAGAGCGAGGGAGGTGCAAAATGGCGGCCATTATCGAGCGTTAATTAAATTAGGCTTTCATTATGGCGCCGACAATGCAAATGGGAATGTGTACATCGCTTCGTGCGCGTTCTCTTAAGCTCGCGCAGAAGCTCGGAGTATAATGACGTCGACGCACAATAGAAAAGCGCTGAAAGCTCGCATTGCAGATAGGTGTGGGTTGAGGACTAAAGGTGACGAGGTGACGTAGGGGTAGAATAAGGGGTCAATTCATCGATGCGATATTAAAAAACGCTAACTTTCTATATGTCCAGAATTGCGGTCCATAAATCATTTTACAGTGATAAAAACTAAATTTCTTCAAAATTATTTGTGTTACGGTAACTTGTTTTTAATTACTGATATTATACGCAATAAACAAAACTATTTTAGAAAAATTTTTTTTTTAAGTTTTCATTCTTTATTACTCCTTAACTATATTTTCAATCACTTGTTTTATTAATTAATGCTCGAGAGGACGTAGAATTTTATTCTACATCAATGACTGAAACATTCTCTACTGTATCTTTAACCGTTTCAAAGTAAACGAGAAAAAACATTTTTCGTAAATTTTTAAATCCTGGCCTGGTGAGTTCTCACCCCTCACACTTCAGGTGGAGATATTGTGCGCGCGAACGATGCGAACGAGTTGTGACTTGATTCTCTGGTGCCGGCGCAGCGACAATGCTTCGTTTAATTAAAGGCAATTTCGAAAAGTCAGTGCCGTTAATTTCAGAATGCGAGCGCGCGCGCGATGAATAGCGCTCGGTGCTCGCTTGATTCGTTTGTTGTTAGTCGTCTACAACGGCGTCGACGGCGTCGTCGTCGTCGTCGGTGTTTGTTGTGTGTTATGTTTTGTTGTTGTTATTTCAGCGTTTTCAATCCGCGCACAAAACGCTTCATAATGTAGAAAGCACACACTCGGCGAGAGCGCGCCGAGCACGGCACAGGGACTTACAAAGAATTTCTATGCCATTGTGGCGGCGGCGATATTATCGAGTTTCCACATGCACAGCTGGACTGAAACCACGACCGACGACCACTTACCCATTCGCATATATCGAAGTCTCGATCGCGCACACCGCACACACCCTCGAAACTCGATGAATGTCTGTAATTAATTTTAGAATTTGTTCGCAATCAATCAATACGTTCCAATATACGAAAATTTTTTAGTTTAAAAAGTGCATTTATCATAACTAAACAAAAAGCCAACTTGTGCTCAAAATGTAAATTTTAGGTTAGTTTCTAAATTTTACCCGCGATGTGGTCCGGTAGTGTTTAATTAAAATGTAATTCGTTTTTACTCTCTTGTTCTAGAAATAGTATTTGTCAATTCTATCAATAAGATTGGCAATATTATTTTAAAGAAATTATTTATATAAAGAATTGCTAATAATGCACTTCAACGCGCCATCTCGGATTCAACTATTTAACTATAACTATGATTGAATCTCAATGTCAACTTTTATCCTATAGAAAAGGGCTGGCTTTAGAGCTTTCCCGGCAATTATTCGAATTTTTCTCGCCATCAAAACCATTCTTGGACGTTAACAAATATTTAAAAAAAGAATTGGCCAAATTAGTCTAGGCGTTGTGGAGTTATGGGCGTACCAACGGATTTTGCGATTCATTTTTATACAACGGATTAAGAAATTATAAATTTATTTACAAAAAAGACTAAAATGATATAAAATTTTAATTCTCACCCTATAATTTAAAACTTTCAATGATTTGAATTGTGTTAGAAAATTATTTTGACACCTGCTATTTTAAACTCGTCGACTACACGTTTGTTTACTTAATATAGTAACACGTAATTACGCCGCTGCTGGTAGAGAACAAAGCGAATAAAGCACGAGTCAAGATTTGACACGTTAAATTACACCCTACCCGCATCTTACCTGAAGTTTCAAACACCTTTTTAGCCACTGCATTCAAAAAAAATGCGCTGCTTGTTGTATCCTTGTCTCATTCGCCATTCCACAACACGACGCACTATACTTAACCGTACCATGGCGCATGATTAGTAAATGTGACGAGTAAATAGATAAATTCAAAGAATTTAAGAATTTAAGCCAGGGGCGTTTTAATGATGCACCAAACACGCGTAATTTCACACTTTACATGCTATTACAACTAATCACACAGTTAGGCAACACACAATGCATCTAAACTAAGCATTACATCATACACTTACCAACTAATATAATAGATAAATATTACTAGTGCATTTATCACACTGTATTTAGTACTGTATGTGAGCAAGAAACAAAATTAATAAACGTTTAAAATAAGTTTGGTTACCTTTTTGCTCGCGCTGAGTTGTTGAGCTTTCGAATGGGAAAACACCTTGGTTTGTTTGCGGCTGGCGTGTCGTAACGCCCCGTTGTTATCGCTCCACGAAATCTCTCAACTTACATAATAACGAATAATAACCACTCATTCGTTTTAATTGAAATGTGCGATATCTACGAAGCTTTACAAACGCTCCAAGAAAAGGCGGCCACCTCGGGAACTATCCAAGCTGTCAAGTTGAAATTTTGACATTTTGACAGCTCAATAACAGTTACGCCGATTACGCATTCCAGAATGCGTGAAAACGTTGTGTTAACTAGCAAAAACTGAAAGATTAAACAGTAAACAGCAAACAAGCAGTAATCGTAAGTCAATTTCAATTCGTTTTTATTCTCTTTATGTTCATTCATCGTCTCGTCTCGCATATATCCAACATATCATTACATATTCTCTTACACGTTACTTTAATTCACCTTATTTGCGTACTTGCAGCATTCGCAGCATGTTTTACCTTTAAATATAGTCGTAATTACGTTTTGTTTAGCATTAAATATAGGTTTATCATGTGTGTTATCATGTGTGGCTGTGTCGATGTGTGTCCGTGTGTGTGCTCTGTCATTGCATGTGTTTAATTACATCACTAGTAAAACTCTTATTGCGGCTACGCACGTAAATCGAACAACAGAAACGATTTCTTTCATTTAATAATACGCGTGTAATTACTGGGCTTAGCGCGATAATAGTAATCGTATGTATAGTAGGAGTAGCGAAGAGACAAACCCATTAAAAAATATAAATTATAGCAACAATTAAAGAATCACAATCACAAACGAGTGACAAAGTTCAGAAATCCGTTCTGAAACTTAAAACTTTTATACAAGGAGCAGCATATGTGCAGTGTCGCCGGTCTAAAGTTGACATTGAAAAATTATTTTCAGTTATTAATTAATTACTCAGAAACTATTTCAATATTTATAATAATTTATTAATAACTGAATTCAATATTAAATTCTGCTTCAAAATAAATTAAAATTTAACATTAAAATTAAATTTTTAACAAAATATTTAAGAAAACATAATCTAATTATGTTTTTGACGCTGTTTTTGATTGTGCAAAAAATACCAGAAAATTTCTAATTAGTATAAACTCATTATTCAATGAATATCAATGGAAAAACTTTGAATCCAATTTTTATGTTCAATTCAAAATCGTTTAAAATTTCAGCAGTTTTCACGTATTCTTGATTTTTAGCCCAAAACTTTCTCTATAAATAAATATTAAACCATATTTTTAATAATATTGATGCAAACTTTAATACCACATGCTGTTTTTGAGTATTTAATCAATTTTTACAATATAATGACAAATGTCACTGCTTTAGACCGGTATGCTTCACTTATACGCCCATCTATACCTAAATAAAATAAATCTATCTATATACAAAATGTACACGTTCATCTTTAGGAGATGCCTACTTGTTCGCCAAAATGTTTAACTACGAATGTAAGGCCTATATTGCAACGCGCACAAAGATGAACCACTATCCTTCGCCCGGCTGCTCAATTCGTATCCTACGTTTTGATTTCCCGCACTGGCTTCCTTACTCGCCTCATAACCGATCAGGTCAAAATATTACAGTCAGCGGTCTTCGAAACTCGGTGCCGGGGGTTTGCGCCGGATACTGCCCAGCATACTGAGCCATTGGGAGCAATCCAGGTGGCATCGCACCACTTTGCTGCATGCCATTTGGATTAGGATAGTAGGCCGGCAGACCTCCAGGTGATGCTCCCGCCGATGATGTTGTCGTTGAACTGCTCGTACTCGCCGCATCTTGTCGCTCCAACGGTTTCACATCATTCGGAGAATCGGAACTACGCGGCGATGCCATTGCATTCTGCTGTTGGTTGTTGTTATCCGAATACACCTTGCCTATATCCAGACCCGGGTAAGTCTGACGTGTTTGATCGCAGTTGTATTTGCCATCCATGTACATCTTGGAGGATTCAAAGTAGGCTTTGGTCAGGGCGGATGTGGAGTCAAGGTAGCCGCGCTCCAAGTAGCTCTTCGATTGTGAGTCCATGTATTTGGGGTCCGAGTACATTGACATCGCGAGGGTGGAGGGCGGCATGTACGGCGAGCGGTATTTGTCTGCTTCCATCGAGTATTTCATCGCATCCATTGAACTCACCACCTGCGAACACGCAAGATAACAGAATCTATATTAGCATGAGGTGTTGTTATTTTTTTTTTGTTTTCTTCGGTTTGACACGTCGAAGAATGCAGCACGCTTCGGATAGAAGACATTTGTTTAAGTCGTTAAAGCGTATTGTGTGCACGAGGATGATATATTGTCACTTTTGTCCCGCAAGGTGGCATGCCCATCATAAATGCATAACATATTATACCGGTTCTAACTTTAGCAGCCGAACAAACAAATGTGCAAATTAAATTCGCAGCTTTTTTTAAATATCTACATTCATTTTGGAATGCTCCTGAAGTTGTATCGAGTAATTTTTACTCCAAACAACGATAAATTAAGATATTGCAGTTTATATGTCAGGTGATAAAATAAAAAATAGGTGAGAGCGAAATAGTCGTACTCTCTCAGCAACTACTCCCCTAAGTGGCAGGTTTTTTTTTACTAAAACGTCTGTTATTAGTTATATTGGATATTTTAGTTTTGCAAATTAGACCTCCGCTCCTTCTATAATATAAAAATTAATCGCAAAATCTGTTAGTAAGCGCATAACTCTACAACGCCTAGACCAATTTGGCCAATTCTTTTTTTGAAATGTTTGTTAAAGTCCAAAAATGGTTTTTACGACGAGAAAAATTCGAATAATTGCCGGGAAAACCCTAAAGACAGCCCTTTTCTATAGGATAAAAGTTGGCAGTGAGATTCAATCATAGTTATAGTTAAATAATTGAATCCGAGAGTGCGCGCTGAGGTGCATTATTATCAATTGTTTATATAATTAATTTCTTTAAAATAAAATTGCGAATCTTATTGATAGAATTGACACATACAATGTCTAGAACAAGAGAATAAAAGCAAATTACATTTTTATTAAACGGTACCGGGATGAAGTCGCGGGCAAACGCTAGTTTAATATAAAAATTACACAGATTATTGTTTATTCAAATTCAATTAAACCATTTGGTGATCTTAACTATATTAAAAGTTTATTCCATTACTTTTGCCAATTTTCCAATTAATTTACAATAAATTCCCTTTCTACCAACACGTCACTCAATATTCTCCAACTCCAAACACCATAGTTATGACGCTTTAAAACTGCAAACCTTCAATTACGCTTTGTTTTCTAAATTTTGAGGTTATGATAGGTTAGATTCGGACGCGTGAGAAGCTGCACTTGCGACACGTTGTTATTATTACCGAAGGGGCAGCGCGCGTGAATTGATGATGCGCCTGATGATGGTCGGTCGTTTTCTTCGCGATCGAAGAGCTTTTTACTGGTCGTGACGCGCGCGCTGTTAGTTTTTCTGCCGCGTCATTCGCTGGCGATCAGTCGTGAACGCGGCCATTAGACACGGATATTAAGTGACAGGCCAGGTGGTTATTGTCTGTGTTTTCGTCAAGCTACATTATAGCTATACACATACATATATTCTGCTATAATATAAAAAATAAAATAAAAATAAAACAACCAGTTAAAGTAATCAAAAATTTACAACGAAATTAACCACCACCAATATAATTATTACTTCTGCTTGATATTTGACCTCAGTAAGAGAAGAAGAAGAAAAAGCGATGCATGATTATTATATTCACGCCTGGTATAGTTTACGATTAATAAACATTCAGGCGTTTAACGCCGTCACCGAGAATGAAACGTAAAACAGAGCGACGTTTAATTGAGCACCTGCGTTACATGCGCGTAAAAGTGCTTCCATTTTTTCCTCGTTTCGTTCGTATGATTATTATGCACGCGCGAAGAACAAGTCGTCGAGTGTGTGTGTGTGGAGCCGGGACGCAGTCCAATCCAATTAATAATTTATGTAAATTGAGTTTAGCTCCTTAGCTCCTTCAGATGGCGCGTCGTCGTGGTCGTTGTCGTAAACGAGCGCCTTTTTCACGATCATAAAGCGCAACATTAATCCCGGTTGTTATGTAAAGAGGAAATTGGTTATTGGCTTGCAGCGAGTCGCGACTTCTTTTAATAAAATCGAAATTAAGACGTGACGGTTCAATCTTCACACGCGAGGCACACACAACTCAATTTGAGCGTAAACAGATTCATTTTGCTTTTGTTTAATTTAATCTGGCTATATAAAACTAGCTTTTGCGCACGACTTGGTCCGGGTAGTGTTTAATTAAAATGTAATTCGATTTTACTCTCTTGTTCTAGACATAGTATGCGTCAATTCTATCAATAAGATTTGCAATTTTATTTAAAAAATTAATTATATAAAGAATTGCTAATAATGCACTTCAGCGGGCCATCTAGGATTCAACTTTTTAACTATTACTATGATTGAATCTCAATGCCAACTTTTATCTTATAGAAATGGGCTGGCTTTAGGGTTTTCCCGGCAATTATTCGAATTTTTCTCGCCGTAAAAACCATCCTTGGACTTTAACAAACATTTAAAAAAAGAATTGGCCAAATTGGTCTTCACATTGTTGAGTTATGCGCTTACCAACAGATTTTGCGATTCATTTTTATATTATAGATATTGTGGTCTAAGCATGTGCCTTTCTAAATAATTTTTCTATGTCTTGTTCCGTTACAATCATGCCTTTTTTAAATGCGAAATTAAAGCAAATATTTATTTGTTTTCTTGATATTCCCGTCCGGAGCAAAATAAGCAAACGCTTGCTGTTTGCTGTGCGTGCACGTTTCGTGTTTTATGTCGCATGTTTTGTGATGCAAATGAGTGAGGGCGGTTTGGAGCCAAAAGAAAGACGCAGCCCGCAACAAAGCAAGAAGTTTGTCATTTGAGTCGCGAGGTTGTCGTTGAGAGAGAGTTTCAGTTTCGATTTTATTTTTATTATCTATCGTGAGAATACTAATGGGGTACGCCGCGGCCGCCTCATGAACTCCACCTCGACGCGCGGAGAGTGTAGGAGCGCACAATGGCGAGAATCGGGGAGATTATTAAATCAGGATTAGCGGACACGTCTCGTGACGGGCGCGCGCGTTGGGGTCCCACTGGTCCCACTTTATATTATTATGATTATTACTATTTTTCCTCGTTTGAATAAAAAAAACAACAACAGCAACACGCAGCCGGCGCGCTATCGCCTCGCATTTGAAAGAGAGGAAATTTCGTATAAAAAGGCATTGATTTGTTGGCTATCGTGTGGTTTCTGGAATGTCGAGACTATGCATACGAATTAACTCAAACCTGTAAATAAATGTATGGGTTGTGAGCAGCGCGCTGAAATTTCCATGATTTGACCAGATGTCTCGGACAAATTAATTTTGAATTCCAATTTTTGTAATTTTTAGTGCTTTTTTTGTTTGTTTTCTGCGTTCAGCAATAAAATTATTGAAAAAATTTGAAAGGGTTTAGGCACCGCCTGGATAACACATAAAACCAATATTATCAAATACCAAAAACACAAATTCCAAAAATTAAAATTATTAACAACTAGCTTTTGTCAATTCTATCAATAAGATTCGCAATTTTAGTTTAAAGAAATTAATTATATAAAGAACTGCTAATAATGCACATCAGCGCGCCATCTCGGGTTCAACTATTTAACTATAACTATAATTGAATCTCAATGCCAACTTTTATCCTATAGAAAAGAGCTGTCTTTAGGGTTTCCCGGCAATTATTCGAATATTCTCGCCGTAAAAATCATCCTTGGACTTTAACGAACATTTTAAAAAATGAATTGACCAAATTGGTCTAGGCATTGTTGAGTTATGCGCTTACCAACAGATTTTGCGATTAATTTTCATATTATAGATTAACAATTTAGACATATACCTACCACTTAAAACTCTCGTTCCTCTGGCTTATTAGATGTACTTTTACCGAATTGGAGAAAACTGCGTTCCGATATTAACGATAAGTACATTAAAATATAATTAAAAATAATTCTTATTTCATTATTTGATTATTCACAACGAAGATAAACAAACAAATTTCCAAAAATAATATTCGCACGTTTCAAATCAAACATAATAATAAAACATGTAAAAATTATCAAATCCCGTCGAATTTTAGCGTTTTTCTCATTTTTTTGCGTAAAATTAACATTTACTCGAAGTTTACGTTGGTGAAATCGTCAATGTTTAGTGTTAATAGTCAATATACGACACATTCTGCTGTAATGAACTGCGAGAAACGCCGAAATGTAAAAATTCGTCCGGCGATTTCGCAGAAACCGAATGCAGAACGAACGCGATCTGATGCCGGTCGGCTGTCGTGGGACTGTTGGCGTTATGGCATTAACTAATACCTTAATATATTACGCACACTGCAATCCGGTGTTCCTTCCACTTCCTTTGTTGTGCGCTAACGTACGAGCTATTTATGCAAATCGCCCAACCCCCGCGTAACGAATTAAGACGTGCAGCGTACAGTGCAACGTGCAAACTGCACTAAATCCACACAACAACCAAAGAAAGTTTTCTAAATAGATAAAACTGCTTATAATCAAAGAATTAGATCCTGTTGAATTTCCTGAATAATTATTTGCTTAGAAATGAATTTTGTTAGAATTTTATTCATTTTAATCATGAGAGGGCCTTTGAAAACAATTTTTTTGGGAATTTATAGATTTCTGTGACTAGATTTTAATGGCGATGAATTTTTATATCAAAAAATTAAATGCAGGAAAATTGATTTATCTTAATCTTACCTAAATTTTTTGAACATCAAATCAGTTGTGTTTTTATATTAAAAACAGAATTTTTAAAGCAAATTACTTACTTTATCGTTTCTAGCTCTAATGTGCAAAAATAAATGCAATAAATGTTAATCTAATTTGAATTTTACCAATCGTACCACTAGCGCCCTCTATCGACGCCACAACTAAGCTCGACTTTTGAAATATTTCGTTGGCACGCATGATCATTCTTCCCCAGTTGGCTTCTAAACGACAAACAAGTGCAGTGCAATTTGTGTTTACCTGTGATGAAGATCCCAATGATGCTGACATCGCCGCCGTTTGCTGAGCCGCCGCCGCCGCAGCCGCCATCGACGCCGCGCTGAGGGAGCCGTACGCCGCTGATGGATTGTAGTACGATGCCATCGATTGCCCCATGCCGCTGGCTGCCATTCCTGCAATGCACACCACAAACAAGTAAGTTAGTAGTTGTATGCAGTAGTGTTGGTGTGAGTGTTTACTTAGAGATAAGCATGTTTCGATTCTTAACACATCGCATGTGCAGAGTGCACAAGCCGGAGTGCACAATGCACAGAAAAACAGACGGTGTGAATTATATTGAACACAATTAGTACCTCGTAAAGGCGAAAATATTGTTTCACAGTTTCACACGTTTTTAACGAATTTCAGAATTATCGTCCTCATATAGACATAAACAGGTTGGATTAACGTGCAAGCTGGCGGCACGTGTAGTGTTTATTGTATGATGCAGAGATCGTAAAAGGTAATTAAAAGCATCAATTTGGTTTTGGCTTTCTTACTCGCTGCATGTTATCGATTTTAATCATGAAATTTTAATTCAATTCTTATTCATTGTATTTAAACCAACGATCGTGTTGTCCAGAAATTTAGAACCTAAGTTCCTCATTGAAAACTTGTTTATTAATCGGCAATTTTGTTTAAATTTCAATTCGTTTGTCTATAATATAAAAATGAATCGCAAAATCTGTTGGTAAGCGCCTAACTCAACAACGCCTAGACCCATTTGGCCAATTTTGTCTTTAAAATGTTCCTTAAAGTTTAAGGATGGTTTTTACGGCGAGAAAAATTCAAATAATTGCCAGGAAAACCCTAAAGACAACCCATTTCTATAGGATAAAAGTTGGCATTGAAATTCAATCATAGTTATAGTTAAATAGTTGAATTCGAGATGGCGCGCTAAACTGCATTTTTAGCAATTCTTTATATAATTAATTTCTTTAAAATAAAATTGCGAATCTTATTGATAGAATTGACACATACTATGTCTAGAGCAAGAGAGTAAAAACGAATTACATTTTTATTAAACACTACCGGTCAAAAGCGAGTTTCCTATAGAATGTTAGATCAACGTCCTGAAAAACAATAAGTGCCATATCGATTTTTCCATAGCGCACACACGATAAAAGTAATTAATTCGTTGAATTATTAGACAAGCATATCCCGGCCGGGGAATACATGCCATTAATAATTCATTACTGTTAATTGAATTTAATTGCGCTGCGGTATAAAGTAAAGTAAAAAATACAACCTCCGTCACCACGCCTGCCGTTGTATTAATTATTGCGTTGAATTCATTTTATTATTCGCGTATAATAATGTACAAAAATAAACACACAACTAACGATTCCGCATTATTTAATTCCCGCATTGTTTCGTGTATATTATTATTATTATTTAAAATAAAAGAATGTTTAACATGCGCGCGTGACGCTCATGCGAATTTATAACCGCAAACATAATAAATCGAATCAAGTGGAATAAAGTAATCGTTCGTTGTTTGTTACACATATATATATAAACACATATATAGAGAATATGTAAATGTATAAACGTTGAGCGACCGGCGCACAAAACGCGAAAATTACGTATCCTACAACGCCGGGGCAGCGTGACATGGAGGTATGTTTGAAATAAGTTTATTTGGCATCTCCATAGCGAAACTGATTCATTATGCGTTTTGTGTCACGGTGCGTGTCCGTGATAATTTATAACGCTGGGAGCACGCGAGAGCCCGCGCGCTCTTATAATGCTGAATTATTATTTTCACTCCGTCGCGCTCGCGTTCGCTGGCTTGCGGCTGGTGCCGTCGCACGTCTTCATTTTTCTCGCTCGCGCGCCGCATTTGCCATCCACGTTATTTATTTCGTACAACAGCGGATATCGCTCGATTACGTGAATGTTGCACATTAAACATGAGAGCGCATGGGTTTATTTTTTGAGGCTGAAAACTGAATTATTGCGAGTTTAGTTGAATGTCGCCGTTTTTAGGTGATAACTTTTGGACGCATCGCGGGTTTTTATCAAATTTTACGTTAAATTTGAGATATTGTATGAACTCAAAATATTTTCGTGGTTTTTAGAATATTTGTGAGTTGTTTTGTTGAGATATCATTTTTATAGTGATACGTACATTTATCAGGGACTTTTTCCGCGTAGATTTTAATCAAAATTAATTATAGGTATCTATATATTGCAACTGATTAATCTTTAGATATTAACACCTAGTTTGTTGTTTAGCAACTTTTCTTTTCTGCGCTATAACCGTCTAAAGTTCAAATGAATTTATTAAAAAATAATATTAATTTTGCTCTCATTCTTCACTGCAACACGCCTACAACTGAATAATTACAATAATTAATACATGTTGATAAATATCAGGCGGATATTACAAAACCCCTGAATGAGAAAAAATCTCAAATGTCATTCGGTTAAAACGTATGTCGTTATATTTTAATTAAAAATTATGCGTTTCGATTGTCGCCGTATTATAAGTCATCAATTCGTTCCCGCTTCGTTCCTTCGACGCTGAGTAGTTGTGACACACCAGCCAGCACCAGCAACGGCAGTAGATATGCAGATATAGCGCATACATACATTATACAAGAAACGTAAACCCTCCTCGTTCTCCTCTGTGCTCCAGAGAGGCGAAGGCGCAGAGGTCGTCGCCGGCACAGGTGTAGCAGCAATAAAACACCTTACGAAATAATAACTCTCCTCTCTTATTATCGTTATTATTATTCTTATTATGTCTATTGTGCTGCACTCGAATGTCGAATGACAAGCACACATGCGTTCATTATCGAGCGTGTAAATGTTGTTCGTGCATCTGTCACGCAGAAATACTACAACTAAGTACTTATAAGAGATGTAATAAAATATTGATCAAATATGAATAGTTGCGGTAAAATTAAAATGCGGTAACTTTTTGACAATTTCACACGATATGTTAAGGTAAATTTACGTTAGGTAGACTTATGAATATGTATTTCAAGTCTTGTTATAAAGTAATTTATAATTGTCGAGCCTCGAGCGCAATTATTATAATGCGGCGTCATTAATTAGGATTAACCGGACGAAATTCAAGCACTGGGCTTGTAATCCGGCGGGTTTTACCACGCTGGGTGTAAATTAGTTTAATTAGAGTGTTTTTCATTTAATTATATTGAAGAAATTTGTCTGTTTTGAGTTTTGAAGACATGGAAACATTTTAATCGCAAATGCTGATTTAAAAATCGAAATATTTAATTTTAAACACGAAAAAAAGAACTTTTTAATTAATTGTTATCAAAACCTTCACGTGAATATGCTTTACTATATACGAGTAGTCTTATGACACCTCTTTTGCAGTTTGAACACATTTAAAATTTGTTTTTTTTACCAAAATTTACTCAAAATAATTTAATTTCTAACTGAAAATAATAAAAATTTACTTGGTCAGGTTTGACATACAGTTGCCAGTAAAATCTATATTCTTCAAAGTAGAAATCAACCGGAAAATTTGAAAAGAACTCTTCGTTGACTTTTTTCACCAACTCCTACGAGTCCTCCTCGACTCCTCCGACTGTTGCCGCAATGTCTAGCTCGACAGACGCGCGCGCTGCGCAGTAAAATCGTTCCTCTGGAATGCGAGGCATTCCTTTCGGCTGCGTCGTGCACACGGTGTCTTTTTGTGAGCGCCCGTGCACGCCCGGTATCTTGGCCGTCCATCTGCGTGTGTGTTGGCGTTTGCAGCACCAGGGGGTTCCTCATCTTATTCACACAAAGCCGACACGTCGCTGTCGCCGTCGCCCTCAGAGTGCATGTCCCGCTCTATCGGCGACCAGGTGTGCTTCTTTCAAATATTCAACGTGTACGCAAATTTATAAGCGCTCAAAAATTGTTGGCGTTTGTTTCGTGGAAAATTTGAAGCGGAAATGAAGATTTGCATTTTCTTCGGTTTCGTATTGTTTGTGAATTTGAATATTATGACCTCACAGAGTGTGAGAAAATTTTATAATTTATTCATCGACATGCGCGTAATTAGTCTTGCTCGCGTTTGAATGAATTACGAAACGCGCCGTTATGGCGGACAATACAGCGCGCGAGGTTCTCGGTAAAATTGGAAATAAAATTTGCGAATGGAAAAAATCACATGTGTTGCTGCGCTGCAGTTTATGAAGACGTAGTCGGTGTGCGTATTGTTGAAAATACTTGAAAAGTCAAGTAGCGCGCGATGCAAGGCGTGCAACCTTAAAATTAAATTAAACTCGCTGCCGAGAGGTGCTAAACGGTGAAATTAGTGTCAGCGCGAAGAATGGAGGATCTGATGATGCAGACGTGTGGCTCGGCTGCAAAGGAGCGTGCGAGATTCCTCTTCGGGCGCGAAGAATTCGAACTCGTTACGTGGTTACACGTGTGCGCCCGCGCCGGTAGCCGTCGCGACACCAACGTACCACATTCCACACGCGCTCCTCTTTCTTCCTCTCGGACCGTCATCATCGGCGGGCATCAGCAGCGCATCCGAGGCCACAGCCGCACTATGGATGGGCTGTAGGTATATATGTGTGTGTGTATATATATAAACGGTGCGGGGCCGCCCGCCTATTCACGGATCATCATCGTGGAGTGCCACTTCGAGGGCGTCTACTGATGAAGTGCAGCGCTCTCGCGCCGCCGCCGGCAGCAGCCAAGAGGTACGCAGGTACGAGTGCGCGATGGGCCATTTAGGTGTCAATCACGGCTCATTTAAACGCTCCATTTGACGCTCAAGATATCCTTCTCGCGTTCGCGCCGATGCCTGTGATTTATTAAGCTGCTTTTAATCAATTTTAATCAATCAAGGTCTTCATCTTCGGATGCATCTTCTCCAACTAGTTGAGTATTGTTCTTTTCGGAAAAAAATGGTAATGTTTCAACTTGGGAAGGGCACAAAGTAGTCTCATGCCATATAAAATGGTTATTGTGTAATTGAGATACATAGTAATTCATCTATAATATAAAAATGAATCGCAAAATGTGTTGGAAAGCGCATAACTCAACAACGCCTAGACCAATTTGGCCAATTCTTTTTTTTAAATGTTCGTTAAAGTCTAAGGATGGTTTTTACGGGGAGAAAATTTCGAATAATTGCCGGGAAAACCCTAAAGACAGCACTTTTTTATAGGATAAAAGTTGGCATTGAGATTTAATCATAGTTATAGTTAAATTGTTGAATCCTAGATGTCGCGCTGAAGTGCATTATTAACATTTCTTTATATAATAAATTTCTTTAAAATAAAATTGTGAATCTTATTGATAAAATTGACACATACGAGTACTATGTCTTTGTTTTGTTTTTGTCTTTTTGTATTTTGAAGGTGCGATATTTATTGGCACATATAAATTTTAACTCCTTCCGATGGAATTTACGAAGGCATAGATCATGCTGAAGAAGAGCGCACACAATAAACCCGCAAACGATGATGCATGACGTGCGGCGGTCGTAATGTGACCGAAAAAGGATGACGAAAAAGCCCCAGCCGGCGAAAACAACGGGCGGTCGCCCGCTTTTTTAATAAAACCGACGCATGCAGATATATCTTGAAGGGAAAAATCACCGGCGAGGAATTTTAACGTATTAATCACGTTGTTTTGCGACCAAAAACTCGATCATAATTAAACCACACACACAACTCACGCCGCGAGTTTGAATAAAACCAGAATATGATTAACCTAAAAATGCAAAAAAATTAATCCACACCAACAAAAGTTTTGTTTCTGTTCTAGATGCCAAAGCCAGAAAACACGCTACTTAATAATAACTCATATTACAAGCTAGAAAAATTAACAAAAATCATGTTTGTGATGCTTGTCTCGTTTGCAATGCCGCTACTTTGCGCTACTTGGCGTGTGTGACGTCGTCATGTCATCTTTCGTAATTTCGTGCGTTTTGTTTCGTTGTAACGAAACTTGTCCAAACACATTAGACTGCGGCAGTGGTGCCTACTTTCTCTTGTCCGTCATTCGTCCATCAATCAACATTTGTAATTGACGTGCGAGATATGCGCATGAAGTAGGAAACGGTAAAGTACGCGGACACGTTTGCGGTATACGTGTGTGTCTAATCCGTCCATTCTCATCGAATTAATTGCAAATTGCACAAAAGAAGATGCTAAGATGCAGGACTTACCAGCGCGAAGTGCGTCCATTGGTACCGACGGGTACGGAATTGAGTATGGATAGCCTTCTTTTCGCAGTGTTTTTGGCTTGCGACGTGGCCGATATTTGTAATCGGGGTGTTCCTTCATGTGCATTGCGCGTAATCGCTTTGCTTCGTCGATGAAGGGTCGCTTTTCATCTTCGGTTAATAATTTCCATTCAGCACCTGCAAAGAATAGTATTCTTAGAGATTTTTCTAAGTGAAAATTTAAGAAAAAAAATTATAGTATAGTTATAGTTAAAGAATTGAATTCGAGATGGTGTTAGTGTACATAATTATCATTTCGTTAATATAAAAATGAATCGCAAAATCTGCTGGTAAGCGCATAACTCAACAACACCTCCACCAATTTGGCCACTTATTTTTTTAAATGTTCGTTAAAGTCCAAGTATGGTTTTTACGGCAAGAAAAAATCGAATAATTGCCGGAAAATCCCTAAAGACAGCCCTTTTCTATAGGATAAAAGTTGGCATTGAGATTCAATCATAGTTATAGTTAAATAGTTGAATCCGAGATGGCGCGCTAAAGTGCATTATTAGCAATTCTTTATATAATTAATTTCTTTAAAATAAAATTGCGAATTTTATTGACAGAATTGACACATAGGTACTATGTTTGGAATAAGAGAGTAAAATCCAATTACATTTTTATTAAACCCTACCGGGATGAATTCCCGGGCAAATGCTAGTTTCTTAAAAAAATAATTATTCGTAAACTTTTATAGAAGGTGATTTAACTTGTTAAAATATTTTTATCGCAAAAATCACATTTTTGGCGCTAGAATCCAACCGAAAGTAACATCTCTTTGCTCGACACAATTGTCCCTATAGATAAATTTATCGAGTGCGATTGTTTCTGGAGTGAAAGATAGTCGAACGAAATCGAGCAAACGGCGAGAGAGGAAAGCAATCACGCTGATGAATCTCCCCCCGGCCGCTCCCCGCGCCACTCGCGAATGTAACAATGATGATGTAACAACTCTCGACGCATTCTCCGGCGCACAATGCGCGCCACAAAGCCAACTAAAGAGACAACGTGCTGCCGGCCATTGTCTCATCGGCGCTGAGAGGGAAGGAGGGTAAATTCTGTGCTTGCTGTTTGTTCGCCAAACGACGGCAACGACTACGACGACGACGCCGGCATCCACACACATCGTCGGCGACTTGACTGCGCGCAAATCGTTTTCCAAAGCTTCGATTCACAGAAATAATGCGCGCCCCATTATGGAGTTTACAAATACAAACAGTCGCATTCATCCGGCAGCAGCACACACTGCAACTGTCTATTGAGCGAAATCACAAATTCTATTATTCGTCCTATTTGTTGTTCTATGCGAAGAATGGCAGGCGAAGTTGAGGGCGAAAATAAAAATTTTATTGTTCTGCTTCAATAGGAATATTTTTGGCTCGATTTTTCTTTTTGGTAGTTTGACACGTGTCTTTTCAGATAGAGAAAAGAGTCTTCTGAGAAGTATTTCAAGGTGTTTCAAATAAAGTTATGGCACAACGTTAGTTATTTTCTTAATTAAATTTATCAAATTGAGTAACAATTTAACAAGGATTTTAATAAAAATCTATAATATAAAAATGAATCGCAAAATGTGTTTGAAAGTGCATAACTCAACAACGTCTGGACCAATTTGGCCAATTCTTTTTTTAAATGTTCGTTAAAGTCCTAGGATGGTTTTTACGATGAGAAAAATTTGAATAATTGCCGGGAAAACGCTAAAGACAGCCTTTTTCTATAGGATAAAAGTTGGCATTGAGATTCAATCATAGTTATAGTTAAATAGATGAATCCGAGATGGCGCGCTCAAGTGCATTATTATCAATTGTTTATATAATTAATTTCTTATAAATAAAATTGCGAATCTTATTGATAGCATTGACACATACTATGTCTAGAACAAGAGATTAAAAACGAATTACATTTTTATTAAACACTATCGGGATGAAGTCGCGGGTAAAAGCTAGTAGGTAGATATTTATAATCAAATTAAAGGGTATTTTTTGAAGAAATAATGCAAGTTAACATTGATATACTGATTGTTGTTTTCTTGAAATTATAATCATCTGAAAAATATGCAATATTGGGTTGAGTTATTTGTGAAATGAATTTTTAGCTCTTACAAAAGTACAGTCTTTATCATAAATTACTATCGAAAAGGTGTGAACGAGCAAAACGTGAAACAAAAGAAATTGCAGAGAAGAAAAAAGAACGATACCTCGCTCTTTGCTGGCTGGTTGGCGATTGTTGGCAACATAATAATAAAATGGGAAAAGGCATTAAATTATCTTTCCATTTGTACCGTCTCCGCGCGCGTACCGATACCTATGCTAACGAAGAAAGAGCGCGAGGAGGCACAAAAGACCATCCGTGGCTCGTAATTAATTCTTATCTCGCTTCGGGAGACAGACACAATGCAGCCGCTACACTGCTACTGTACGGCGCGCACAAGAATCCTCTCCAACCTGCCGGGGCAGGCATTCAAAGCGCACCCGGCACAAAAGCCGCACCATCGCGCGCATAACAAAAACAACAAAGTTCTTTCTTCTTTCGCGAATGAAGCGCGCTCATTGTCTCAACAGAAGAGGGTTGGATGTTGCTGTGGAGAAAGGTGGCGCGCGGCGAGAATCAACGCGCGCGCCTTTCTTTTCCGCGTGCGCCATCCCTCCTGCCCCCGCGGCGGAGGGAGAAGACACACTCGCGATACACTCGCGCGCGCCGCCGCGTGCCTCTTGCTAGAGACAAAAACGAAAATGTTGCCACGATTGGTGGAGCGACGCGATCGCAGCCACTGCGCGACGCGCATTGTTCTCATCCAATGGCGGAACAATGCCCGATGCGTTCCACGCATTCGCGACCCGCAACACGCGCTTCAAAACTAGGAAAATTCACCGAAACACACGAAAAAAGTGCGCGCGCTCGCCCCGTCGAATGAATAATGCATGTTTTGAATGGCGTGAAAGTTTGTAGTGAAAAATAAATTTACAGCGTTTGACAGTTGACACATTCACTATTTATTCTTCTTGCTGGTGTGTTGGATCAATACACGTGGTGTAGTGCGGTGCAAGTCAGCCGAATTTTGTCGTCAAACTAAATCCGCACGCGTACAAAGCGGTTTCATAACATAACACATTTACCAAGGGGGCGGCAGGGCGGAGGGGCGGTAAATCTATTTAAAATTTGACGTTTTCAGGATGTTGGAGGCCTAGCATAGTCCTATTCATATGCAAACGTGATTTAACCCTCGCAAACAAAACCATTTCATTTTAAAACCATGACATTTCGCAGGGTTTTCGTGTAGGTTTTGTCTTGTAACTTTCAAATGAATGATACAATGTTTAAATTTGATATATACCTACTTAGGTAAAACTAAAATATTTATCAGAAAGTGTGTTTAATACTTATTATCTTGATATATACGTACATATCTTCTAGAATATAGAAATGAATCGCAAAATCTGTTGGTAAGCGCATAACTCAACATCGCCTAGACTAATTTGGCCAATTCTTTTTTTAAATGTTCGTTAAAGTCCAAGGATGGTTTTTACGGCGAGAAAAATTCGAATAATTGCCGGGAAAGCCCTAAAAATAGCCCTTTTCTATAGGATTAAAGTTGGCATTGAGATTCAATCATTGTTATTGTTAAATAGTTGAATCCGAGATGGCGCGCTGAAGTGCATTATTAGCAATTCTATATATAATTAATTTCTTTAAAATAAAATTGCGAATCTTATTGATAGAATTGACACATACTATGTTTAGAACAAGAGAGTGAAAACGAATTACATTTTTATGAAACACAACCGGGACGAAGTCGCGGGCTAAAGCTGGTTATTGAATAAATTGACAATTGTAATGGTTAGATCATTAAAAACTGACAGAATCCAAATCAAAATTCACCTCATTCCTTCTAAAGGAACTATTAATCTTTGGGTGACCAATAGTTGAAAACTCCTAATGCCATCCTTTGAGAACTTATAACACAATTTTCCTATCAATTGAAAAAGGATAACACAGGTTGCTTCTTGATAGCTTACCCAGTCGTTTCGATATTTCCGAATTATGCATCTTGGGATTCTCCTGCGCGATTTTCCGCCGCTGCAGGCGCGACCACACCATAAAGGCATTCATGGGTCGCTTGATGTGATCCTCCTGCTTCTTGACCATTGCCTGCGGCGCGCCCGCCATCGACTGCGGCATGCCGAGCGCACCAGCCGCTCCGCCGAGGCTTGCCATCCGCGACAACCCCTCGGCGGCGCTGAAGCCCCCTTCGCACATCTGCGACCTGCAACAACAAACACAGACACCGCCACGTCATGAATGCTAATCGTATCAAAACACACGAATAAAATTATACATCTAAGGGCTGTGGCTGTAATAACATTAGGGGTCAGATAATTAAATATTCATTTCGCGGGTGCCGTACCCACCTCTACATACACCTAAGCTATCAAGTTTAGAAGTGGCGCCAAAAATTCTCAACTTTCACCAATATGTAAATGCATCAAATTGATCCCGCGGTAAATACGAAAATCTTGAGTTATGACCGTTAGACGGCGCAGCCACAATGCGAACGGGCGTGTTTTAATGAAGTGATTACGATGCTTTATAGCCGATTAGATAAATGGACGACGGTCAATAAATATCAGCTCGCAATTATTGATAAATCATAAATAATATCAATAATATTTATTAACATGTCGTGCTTGTAGCGTTTTAGCATTTCAAATGTATGACAGGTCGTAAAAATGCTTTCCACGGACGTATAATCAATTAGTCAACGTGTTGTGCGCAACAACTTAATTTAAGGGCCACTTTCGGGCGGCTGAGAGTCTCACAAATTGACCTTTTCGAGTGTGCCGGCTCGTTTGGCCGTCGGCAAAGGAATTGCGCGCTGGAGTGGGGTGGAAAGGACCAAAGGAGCAGGAGAGCTAATGCGTTTGACCGTTTCCCTGCACCAGAGGGTCAAAAAGGGCGTGCTGGGCTTATTAGATCAATTTGTAACTCACTCACAGGGCAAGTGTTTTGACTTTATTAGTGTGATAACTTAAATAAACAATTTACCTCATAAAATGGCCACTTGTGGCCTGTCGATGTAGGTCCAGATCAATTTTGAAGCCGTTTGAGTCCTGTTTATCGCTAAATTCACTAATTCACTAATCACCAAAGTCACGCACTGAAAGTTTCTTTTAAAAAGTCACAAGTCTCGCGTTTTATTATTGTTTATCTGTTTATCACGCGGTTGACGTCCACACAGCTGTTGCGCGGGTCGCACAGGTGAACGATTAATGCCCGATATTATCTAGTTGGCCGTCGGACACGATATAGAATGTGGTGCGGCGGCGGTGTCTCTGTGTGTCGGTTGTGCTGGCGCTGGCGTGCGAGTGTGGCTCACCGGGCGCGGGTAGACATGCGCCCCGTAGCGGAAGCACTGTGAACCAATCGCGGTGAACGCAAGGCGGGGTCCCCCAAACTCACGTCCCCTTCCGCTGCCGCCGTCTCGGCTACGCCTCTCTCGCGTGACGGAAAATCGCGACACCGTGTAAAATAAAACAAAACACAACTGAACTAAACTGAACACACAGGCAGAGCAAAAGCAGAGAGATCATGGTATGGTATGCTGTGTGCTTATTTGCTTGTTGGCGTTGTTCTATCGGTGGAAATGTGAACTATTTAATATTTTTGCAAGTGCGCCTCTTGTGTGTGCGTGACACAAAAGGTGGAAAGCGATTACACGCTCGTCGCGACGTGCGCGCATGCAGATTTGTCAAACGGTCGGATTTCGGCGTGCCAAACAAAACGACGGGTTGCCTAGGCGACCCACGATGGCATTGTTCAGCGCGGGCCTTGTGCAGGTGTTGTCCCCCGAATACTGTCGAATCAATAGCACCTGGGTTGCCAGTATATTCAGTTATTTAGTAATCGTTGGATTTCTCTGAATCACAGAAGCAGTTGTTGTTCATTTTTGCCACAAGCGTCTTTTCTTCGCTTAATATACCGTGGGGAAGCCGACATCTTGACCGGACAATTGAGCGACCAACCAGCCGTGGTAGACGGCGTGTCGCCTACATGTCCGAAAATCTCATTCAACGGAATGCGGGTCCATGCCCGGCGGTCTGATGTAGCTATACTTCTACGTGTGTGTGTATGTTGGTTTTTTGTCAACGAGATGGTCACCATCATCGCACTAATCCCTTTTCACGGCGCGCTTACAACTTTTATACGTCGTAAAATGTTATAAACCAAAGGCGTACTTACAGTTCTTATACAAACGAGGAGAGCGGTAGAGAATGGCAATAGCCGCGCATGTACAATGCCGTTTGTGTTCTTCAGCGAGCAGCGCAAGTCGTAAAATTATATGCACCCCTTTTTGGGACTGGCGGAGCTAAACTTGTTGATGTTTATTTAACGGTATGGTTTTATTTTATCCAATGTTGTAAAACAATTTGCATTGCAGATTTCAGCAAAATTCCAAACAGATGTTACCTTCTACGTTCTCTGAAAATCCATTTTTCTGTATTTCGTGTACCTAGTTATATTTGGAAATTTGAATTTTATATCGAATAAATTGGTAATAGGTACAACTTTTAGAAAATAAAGTTAGACGGGATATCGAAGCAGAGCAGTGTCGCTGAAAAGTAAAAACATTTTTTGCCTTGCGTTCCTAAAACAATGCAAGTTTTTGAAAACCACCACGAGTAGTACCACTATAAGCATACGATGAGGAATTAGCGGAAGCTTGGCCAAGTCGTACCTCTAAAATACAATTGGCCCTAGATTGAAAGTTTTGCAACTTAATGTCAGTTTTTCGACATATTTACCTGCTTTAGTTAATATAGCTTTAATTCGTATGAGAAAAATTAATCAGAAATGTTTATATTTTTGTAAAACATCAATTTAACAAAAATGTGTGAACGGTGCGACTTAACAAACCGGTACCCTAAGTCGTACCATCGAAACCCTAAGTCGTACCTATGCCAAAGAAATATCAAAATGAGAATATATATTAGTTTAATAATAATGTATTTATTTGCAAGGTATTTTTTACTCGTTTGGACACCCCAACACATTTGTCATGCATCCAAATTTTGCATTTGAGGCACTGAATATAGTTAACTAGCTTTTGCCCGCGACTTCGTCCTGGTAGTGTTTAATAAAAATGTAATTCGTTTTTACTCTCTTGTTCTAGACATAGTAGGTATGTGTCAATTCTATTAATAAGATTCGCAATTTTATTTTATAGAAATTAATTATATAAAGAATTGCTAATAATGCACTTCAGCGCGCCATCTCGGATTCAACTATTTAACTATAACTATGATTGAATCTCAATGCCAACTTTTATCCTATAGAAAAGAGCTGTCTTTAGGGTGTTCTCGGTTATTATTCGAATTTTCCTCGCCGTAAAAACCATTCTTGGACTTTAACAAACATTTAAAAAAAGAATTGGCCAAATTGGTCTTGGCGTTGTTGAATTGTGCGCTTACCAACAGATTTTACGATTCATTTTTATATTATAGACTAACGCTACAAAAACAGAATTTTCCAAATCATAGATTTTCCCTCATAACCTATGCATTTATTAACCTAACTTAACTGCAGTTCAAAATAGATTAATATACAAATATAAATCTTAAGTTTAGCGTCTAAGTGTATTCAGGTTGATTTTAATTGATCTATTATAAAAACCATTCTAAGCCAGACACAATTTATTCATGAATTGCTGGCTTGCGATTTGATAAATAAAGAATTGACTTGCGGCGCGCTGAGCACTTGCCGTTGTTGTGAAATTAAAGTGTAATAAATCACGATTACGAGCAAATCTCATTCAGATACCTACTACATACGTACACGCTCATTCCGTATTCTTTTGATATATATTTGCATTTTACCTCTTCAATTCCTTTGCCGTTCTTAATAATATATTAATAATGGAGTGTACTCAATAATGTCGTATTGTGGTGAGTATTGTGCCACACATTCTAGTCGTTCGTTCGGTCCACCTTTGAATGCATAATTAAATTTGCGTTTTCATTGCGTTTCATAATCGGCAACAACCCCTTTCTATACCTACCTATGTACAACTTAATCTCGCAAAGTGTATGCAAATGATTTGATGAATATTTTATCATGCAGGTAAAAGTTTTAGCGTGTGCTGCATAAATTTCGCCATTTCATCAAATTTATTTAAATTCATTCATCGCGTGCCATATTTTATTGTGTGTCAAATTTTCGTTATTTGCTGCGTAAATTGTAACGTTTTTGTTCGCATAAGTTTAACCAAAATTTTCACACACGCTAAAAAAGTTGTTGATTTCTCGGCGAGATTTAAAGATGTGCTTGATCTTTACTCAAATGTTATCGTGATCGAGTTTTGGGTTTCGAGATGTTTTAGAAAAACGTTGGTTGTAACAGTTGAAGCAAGAAATAAGATGCAAAGAGGCCAAAAAAAACGAACACACACATAAGAAATAAGAACACATAGTTCCGATATATCTGCGAATGAGATCAAGCATCCCTTGACATGCGATGAATGCGCCCCATAACTGGAACACAGCACAGGGATTTGAACAAAAAGCAAAAAGAAACGGATATCTAGACTGTCAAGACGAGGCATACCTTTTGATTTCTGTTATTGTTGCGCGCATCTATGAAGGTATTATCACGAAGGGGAGAAAAAGAGGCTTTCTCTGCGGCTTACAGCCACACAACGCTGCTCTCATGGGGTGGAATTAAAAATCACGAATTGATCAAATGAAAACTCGGAAATCGGAACGACATTATTGATTCGGTAACTAATTGGATTTTACACTTTACTGTGCACGATGAGGCAAAATAAAACTAAGTTTAAGATAAACAAACAACAAACATGACAACCGGAAGTTTATCTACCTAGATAGATAGTTGTTTGTTCGATGATTGAATTTTAATTCGGTGCAATCGAGTAAAAACGGCAGATGGTGATCATCTTTAAGATGACCAATATTGTAACAAAAGCGGACGGCCAATAGATTTCGGACAAACACGCTCGGCATAGAAGATTACACAAATCCTCTAGCGATTGGCGATGAAACGTAATTGTAAAAGTATTTGCACCGCACAATTCTCCACGTAATAAGCGTGTAATCCTTGCACATCTGTTACGTGCAACTTACAACTTGCCACAAACATTCTTACTACAAAAACATCAAATAATGTACTAACCGCAATTATTATGTAATATCAATGCATTTGTTCGATTACAGTTTGAATGTTTTCGGTGGAAAATGTTTGCTCAAAAAATTACACTCACTTTATTTGTGTATACGGGTTTGTAAAAAGGGTTTTTAACATATGTTGAACAACCCTTCGCAATCATCAATCGTGTGGTGTGGGGCTTGGAGTTCATGTGTGTGTGTGTGTACGCAACGAAAATTGATGAGCCGGCCATTAACGCATAATAAAGCCAACGAATGGATTTACGCATGCACGATTTGTATTCCTAAACCGAAACGCATTTGTACGCGAGTAGTATGGGTATAATGTTGGCTTGCATCTTTATTCTTGATGCACACGTTGTATCAAACAAATTGCGATTTAATTCGGACAAAATCGCGCTGCACGCGCGAAACTAATAGGTTTAATGGCGTGGTATTAATTTGATTATTTGCGCACAATGAGGAAAAAACGCTTAACTTTTACATTTAATACTCTCAGTTAGTCAATGCAGTTTTTTGTATTAAATTAGGTTAAAATGAAAATTTTTAAACTAAAACTTTATATGATTTAAAATGCAAATATTTTGAAAACTAAATGGATAATCAATTTTAAATTTGTGATTTTTTATATAAATGCAATATAAGTATTACTTTATTTTGATTTTATTGCCTAGATATTTTTAAGTAAATCAAGAATTGGTTAAAAATTGAAATTTTTATATAACTATTTTCAAAGACTTAGACCTATATTTTAGAGAATATATTTAATAATCTTTATTTCTTCCATAACATCTGAAGAATGCTAATATGTCGGTAAATAATTTGTTTTTATGTAAAGATTTAAATTATGTTTGTTTTTTTGTCAAAAATATCACAAATTGAAAAAAGTTTTTACAAAACCCAATTTACGAGTAGGTAATTGATTTTGATTGATTGACATATAATTTAGTCCTAACGGTTCTGAAACCTCTGATACTTTTGAAATTTGATGCGTTTTTTCTGACCATTTTTGCCTTTACATTATAGAATTTTGCATACCCATGTTGACCTTTTGATTGTATTCATATCTCATATTTTCATTTCCGATGGCGTGCATTGCTCCAGAATAGAACGAACAACAACAAAAACACCTCTCTTCCCGGGTGACTTTTCCCATCCGTGTGTATGTGTCACGT